AGCTTCCCATCCTGTTCTTGCTTTTCTCCTCAGGCAGCGGTGCCTATTTGGTGTCAGCATTCCCTATTTTGCCCCGTTGGGCCATGGCTGGTGCAAGGCTGGTACAAAGGCAGAGCAGGCATACATGGCGACTCTTATTCCTAAGTTCAGAGGGGGGTATCTGGCTGGGTATCTGGCTAGGGAAAAAAACACTCAGCTGAGCTGTTTTGCCCAGGGATGTTCCATTTCACGCTAACTCAGGCAGCAGAGAACCCACTTCCCATTTCTGCTGAACTCCAGTCAGTGGGGGATGCTCCACTGAGGCCAACAAACCACTAACCAGCACTGCCTTCTAAAGGAGAAAGTGGATTTAGTGCTTGTTAAGAAGCAACTTGAAGACAGATGTCTTGTGGTAGGGAGCTGTCTGTTTGCCCAAATTTCCACTATCAACACATCAATGTGTTGCGATTTGACCCGGGAGGATGACTGCTCCAGTGAGAAAGATCAGCCTCCACTGTAGCAACAAGCATAGCCATACCCTTGCCACATCCCTGTTTGTCCCGGGGACCTGGGTGGAGCTATCAAACCACTTCCCACAGACTAACCAAAAAGCTGAGTAATGACTCCCAATCCTCTAAATGATGGGATTAGAACTGTTGATGTGCGAGTAGAAGGCCACTGCCTTCACCCTCGGTCATCATGCCCCCCTGCTGATCCTGAGCCATGTTCAATAACCATACTGACTCCAACTAGCACCTATCAGGTGACCGCCCCAAAAGAACGCAGAAATGTTAAACTTCACAACCAGCACGCATGTCCTATCTTGAGCCAGACAGCTCTAGCAAAAGCAGCCCCATGCACTTGGCTTCATCCATAATCTGCTGGAATTTGCATTCTGGTTGTGGGGAGACTATGGGGAGAAAATCACTGCAAACAGCTGCTTTTGTTTTTTGATCTCTTGCTGGTTTTACAGCACTTGTATCTTTTCGTGAAACAGAAAATGACTCAGTCCCTTGCCCTTAAAAAAGTTGTTGCCATTCCCTTCCCTGTTCTGTGTTCTTGAGGCCACATGACCAAAAAGCAAGAGGCATGAGTATTTTCTCCATGTCAGTGAGGAATCTGCTCATTTCCAGCTTGTACTAAAGAATTCAGAAATTCTTCCATGAAACTTGGTAGACAAAATACTTATGTTTAGAATGGTGGCCCAACCAATACCATATGAGTTCTCGCCTTTCCTCAGAGGAAGAGGAAGTGGGCTTTCAGTTAGTGAATGCTGTCCTACCAGCTGAATTCTTCCTCATCAAAGCTGAGCTGGGGCCCAGAGCTGCTCCATCGTGAGATCCACATGAGAAATACAGGTGAGGCTAGAATTGCACCTTGCTTTGCATATGCAGCTCAGCAGAGCTGATCCTGCAATCCCAGTAAGGAAAAAGTCCAAAGAAGCAAGAGCCAGCCCCCACCCCTTCTCAACCGAGGCAGTCCAGATTACAGACCTGCTCAGAGGTGGAAAATACAGGACCAACTCCTGGTTCGTCAAAGACAGGCACCTTTTGGGCAAGTCATCTCATCTAATTGTACCCACCTCCAAACTGAGGCTTACAGCACTGCAGGTAGGGAGGGTAGAGAAATACCGTGATGTGCGAGCCACACAAACAGGTCAGGCATCTGCGGGAATGGCGGTGGCCCTGCAGAGAGGCTGTCCCAGACTCCAGGTGGACTGGAAGGAAACAGATGAGGAAGAATGCAGTGCTGCTCTTCCTCCTCCTCCACCCGCAGAGACCAAACAATGCAGCCAATTTATTCTCGTCACGCCCAGGTGGTGTATGGCTGATTACAGGATGAAGTTTGATGATCGGATCTATGGAGAACTTGCTCAAATTTTGAGCTATTAGGGCTCAGCACAGTTTTAACACACCTCTCTTTTTCTTCCTGATCACCGCCCCCCCCCTTCCCCCCCCCCCCCCCCCCCCCCTGCTACACACCCCATGTCTTTATTTAAAGTTTTTTATATACAGTAAAAGTGTCACAGATAAATCTGTGACAATCAGACAAGACAAATGTAAATCTCTCTCAACAATTAGCAGCTTAAGATCTATAAACTACAGTGTTACGTTCACAAGTGTCATTTCTGTACTTTTCAACCCGTGCAAGTGAGTTTTTCTGTTTATTTTTTTACACTTTTAAAACACACTTACAGCTAAGTCAATTGCCTACTACTATACCACCTGGCATACACAACACAGACACACAGGGTTTTTAACTCTTTAGCCACATTCAGAATTCACTTAAAAACTGGCAAAACTACCCAATCTTGAACCCCTTTGTAGCTTGGCTTCTTGTGTTATAATGCTTTTTTAATTAAAAAAATGCATATTTTCAAAGCTGAAAGACAGTGCTTTTCTGTCCCAGTGCAACATGTACAGAACTCAACATTTAATCTGATCAGACCCTAAGAACTCATGGGATTGGAATAAGCCAATGAAATAATTGGTGTGAGCATGCTCAGTATCATTAAACTAAACTAATGAGGCTGAGAGAAAAGAGAACTTTATAAAATTTAAAATGGTAAATTTTTTTGCATCAAGATTTTCTTTCTTCTTTACATTGAGAAAGCAAATGGGGGAAACAGATGAACTTCATTTGAACCATAGAATTTCAATGAAGAGCTGCTGCTTTTTGAACTAACACAGTCCATTATATTCTTCCCTTTTTAAATGCCAAGTTGATATGTGCTAAACATATCTAAGCAATTTCAGAATCGTTGCAACTCTGAATATGAAATGTTTTGGGAAACATTCTGCAACTCAGAGATGGTCACTAAAAAGTTTACATCCAGAAGGAAGGCTAATAAAAGGTATTCACACGCACACTCACATCCATGGCAGAAACTGTCTTCTACATGTCATCCAGAAATGCTTCGTCAAGAAAGCAAACACAACCACTTACAAGGAAAGGGAGCTTTAAAGCTAGAATCACATTTCGAACAATATAATCATTGTTAAGCTATCAGAAATCATCACAGACCTTCAAATTGAGGGAGGAAAACCCCAAAATGTTCTGCTAATGCAAAAGGCAAAACACATGGCAGTTGTGTTAGGATATGAAAAGTGGATGCAGCATCATATATGGCATTACTGCAGACAACTTTCTGGAATGGAAGGAACTGTCGAGAGAGAAAGAGACAGACAGACAGACATTGCCCAGAACCATATGTACATGGCCTTCACCAAACAGTTTTGAGGTGATAAGTTTCTATTAAGCCTGCGCCTTCTGGCAAATTAGCAAATGGTATTTACTGAAGACAACACAGAGTTGAGACACTAAATGAAATTAGGATATAAAGAAGAGGAGGGACAAACACTTCCTTCAACTACTATGGACGAGTGGCACTGAGTGTCCAGATCCATTGGCTTTCAACTCCTTCCTGCTTTGACCACATAAAAACCTATCATGAGCAATTCTAGTGTGATCAAAACTGAGAAAAACGGAGGTGGGAAAGCCAGGTTTCAGAAATAAAGGCAACAAAGCTTTTCAATTATGTGCCAAATAAGTTCTTACTGTTATTCACGCCTTTGTTTCTGACAAAAACTATGTAATGGGAAGACGACGGTTACCCACATAATTTGAATCAGCCAGAGAAGGATGGTAAACAGAATACAGTTTCGCTGGAGCTAGAAACATGGTCTAGGGAGGGAATGTTTATGCAATCTTTGCTCTGTCTGCAACTCTGTGGAAAGCATGATTATTTTTGGCTTGAGTCAGTTGCAACTGGCAATTTATGTTTTAAGTAGGACAGGAGCAGGTTAGCGCACATGGTGACAAAAAGAGAGGTGTGCTGGGATCCCTGGGGAGCGGGTACCTGAGTTCCCTGTGACTATGGAAAAAATGGGCAGAATTGCTGAAGGAAGAAGGTCAGTTGGATGGCAGAGGGCAATCGGAAGACCCTCAAGGCTGTTAATCTAGTTTGAGGAAATTTCTCAGAACCCAGAATTTGCATCATAGCATAAAGTCCTAGGCTTCTGTGTGTATATGTATGATGTACATGTTCTATATATGTATGGTTTCAACTGGTTTAGGTCACTTGGGCAACATTTGGTTTCTAGAGGGAACTTAAGCCTGGAAGGAAGGAAAACAATAAGATCTAACTAAACACCATAAATGGTTTTGAAAGAGAATCCTAGAGTCTTTTTGGATTTCACTTGAATCTTGGCTCTGTTACAGTGAAAGGGACACCAGTTAAAAAAACAGCAGAGAGTGAAGGCAGATTCCTTGGACATGAAGCCTGCTTGCCAGTACCAACAGGTCACCAGCAATAGCATGCTGCTAGGACTTGAGAGTTACATTTGAAGCTGACATTTCCTTTAGAGCTTTGAAAAGGTATCTATACCAAGTACTTGCCCCCATGGCTGAAGAGGAGGATGCTCTCTGTGGCACACTACACAGATACAGCGTACAAAGAAGATCTCTACACAGACACACAAATGATCTTACCAGAGCCTGACAGGAGGAAAACTTTGGTTTCATTTTTTAGGGGTTTATTTAAAAATTAGATCAGAGAGATTTCTAAGACAACCATTCTTTTAAGTGGACTGTTGATTCAGTATTTCTTTCCTTAAAAGAACCTGTCTTTTCCCTAGGAAGGGATGAAGAGAAATTCCTTATTCTTATCCTGAGGCCAGGAATGAGAAATGACATGGAAATGAGAAATACAAACATACTCTCCTTCACATCTGGAGAAAGAAAAAAAAGCCCTGCATGACAAAAATGTGTGAGGAAGATAGATGTTTTTCATGATGCTGCATCTGTATGCTCAGGAGGACAGATAAATGGCATACGAATAGCGCTGCGCTCCAGACAGGCTGGCACTAGAAACTGCTCTCTGCCCCCCTCAAAACTGTTTCAGGACAAGACGGCTCACAATTATTCACGCATTTCTTCATTTAAAAACATCACTTCTTTATTTAAAAGGAAAAAAAACCATAATGACCCTCCCAACCCCTTCCAAAAAAACCCCCAATAATAATAATAATAATAATTATAATAAAAAATCCTATTAGAAACAATAAGGAAGCACTGAGAGTTTGAGTATTACACTCTTCAAGTATGCTGTTTGGATTTTTTTTAAATCTGTGAATATACATATATAAAAAAAACCTTAAAAGTGCGACCAAGGGCTTCTGCTTAAAGATAAGTATTTCAAGGGCTACTTCAAAATACTGTAGCACGACTGTGCAGTTACTGTGTATGGCATGAGGCTTCCACTTCATATGCTTAGCAAAGTTAGCCAGCCTTATAGAAAGTTATTTTAAGTCAGGTTAGCACAAATGGTGAACCCAGACGCTGAGCTGGGAAAGAGATCCACACATTGTTGTTTTTCTCTTGTTAAGGAAAGAAACCACTCTGAACGCATACATTTGGACATGGAATGTGAGCAGACTTCACAGTAAAAGTTTAGTGTTACAGGTTTGCTGTGGTACCATCATTCAAGGCTGTGCACTAGATTGAGCTTTGCTCATCTTAAGCTAACCACATTCTCTTCTTTCTGACAGGTTTAGTACAGTAGTTCAAGCCACAATTTAAATTGCCCATTGGTATGCTCCAAATTTCTGTATTTTATTTATTTTGTACACTTTAAAGAATCTTAAGATTTGCATCCAAAGAGAACCATGCTACATAAAAATTATCCAGGATTCTTGCCAAAAAGAGTTCTTGAATAAAATCTAAAAAATACTATTGCAATGCATCTCGCAGAGAAAAAACGTTATTCTAAATGTAAACAAATTCACTCGGACACTTTAAAACTTCAGCGGAGTAGTTGCTGACTAATCTTTGCCACACTTGCTCACTGAGAGCGCCGGGAGGAGGGGGAGGCAGCCAATTCCTGCATCTGGGGGGAGACAAGAACCGTTCCAAGTAGCCGGTGATGGCGTCCCAGTGCTTCCACAAAAAGGCAATGAAAACCACTATAAATAAAGTGCTGAACGTCCTATTGCGAGTCTTCATAAGGGGCACGACACAGTTGGCCACAGTGGAGACGAAGACGAGGAGGACAGCCATGACAGCCAGGAGGATGTTGATGAACTTCCCCAGCAGGTTCCTGGCCGTGGCGTTCTCCAGCCCCTCCAGCTGTACCACTTGCTGCTGCTGCTGCTGCAGCTCCATCTTGGAGATGCGGGTCTGGCATGCTTCCAGTGCCTCCTGTCGGCAAGAACACACCGCTGGGTTGCCAGCACCCCACAAGTCCACCCCAGTGGCAGACAGCCCATGGCTCATACCTTACTGACTAGGCCAGACCAGGGCCACCCTCCTCATGCCTTACGCACCTTCTGCAGGACATGAGTCACTACACTGATTTCATACCCTGCAGCAGGAGTAGAGGAAGCTGTGCCATTTCATGTGACTGAGGGTCAGGAGCCCCTCATTAATTAGGTACTGCCGTTTGTAACATACCACGTCATCTCATTTACAGCGGAGAGGCTCGACAGAGATGACAGGCTGGGCAGAAGTCAGGCTTTGTTAACACACACATTCAGCTGCCACTTTGCACTGTCAGCTGCCTGTCCCTGCACGTGGTGCAATGGTCACCTGAGACCTTACCGTCCTTCCTGCCTTGCCATCAGACCCAGAGCGAGGATGCTGCTGACAGCCCTCAGCAATCAGACAGCTTTTGGCCAGAAAGCAGGGGGGGGGGCTACCCAATGAGCCGCTCACTTCAGCTTTGGTTTCAAGAGAACACTGAGGGGACAAAGGTGTTGTGTCCAGGCAGCACTCCTCCTCCTCTTCTGGGATGCGCATTCCTAGAGCCTCCCATTTCCATCACTTTTCTTGCAGCGGCTTGTGCTTATCCGACCCTCTGTGAGCCCATTCAATTCTCTAGTCAACCTGGCAGAAAACTAAGTCAACAAAAATAACTAACCAAAAAGGCTTGGCCACATTCTGCTTCCTTAGTGAGCTGAATGAGCTCAGGGAAAGGTTTGAGGAGCACCAGGGCTGGGACTGCACAGCTGGCATCACAGGAGGAAGATCTCCTCCTCCAGACTGCAGCAAGCTGTGGCATTGGCATAGCTCCAGATGACACTGCAAGGGTTGGAGAAAGGAGATGTCTAGGAGAAGGGCAAGAAGCATGAGATATATGAAACTGCCTCTAGGAAGAGGCAAAGCAAAAGTACGTGGAAGGAGAAGACTATCCTGTACAAAGCAACATCTCTAAAGCACCGTTGACTTGGGGGTGAATGTTTTCAGACCTTTTCACCATGCTGAACCTCAAGTGGACCAACCCAACCCACAGTACAACACTGGCTACCTGCAGCGGGTGGGCTAGGGGTAAGGAGGAGCATTTTTAAGACAATTAATGCAATGAGACGTTTCTGCTCTTGGAGATACAAAGTTACAATTTTTCCATTAATCCTCCCTCAGAGTTGCTCTTCCCAGACCTACAGGCCTGAGACCTAAAGGCCAACTTTGGATCACATCTAGAAGTCTGCAGCAAGCAGCAGTCTCTCTCAGACTGACCACTGAAATAGGAACCAGGACTCCTTGCCTACGGGCTGAGCTCTGTCACTGTTCCTCTGCAACATCAGCCCATGCTCTTAACTAATTTTTCACGCAAGAAAACTTAACGCTTACCTTTTCCCCAGCAATGATGGGGAATAGTCTGTCCCAATTTGCAAGTTTACACTAAAAGCGCTGAATCATAAAATGAACATTAAAAAAAGCTATTGAGAAATCCCCACTTCAATTTAAGTTTTCAACCTTACTTCTTCCTGCCATGTTAAATTAGAGAGGAGAACAACACCTGAATATTGTAACATTCCCCCAGGCTAGAGCTGTCAGAAGCCATGGTACCACTGTCCCCAGACACAGATTTATTTTAACCTTAACTTAAAGGTCATTTTCACCTGTTACATTTCTCTCTCATTGCATCATGTCTGTGGAGGTCAATGAAACATGAGGGCTTCTCTTCAGTTATGATTCCTGAAAGTATGGAGCAAAACTGATCAGCCTCCTCTAACAGCAAGCAACCTGGAAGGACATTGACTCAACTGGACTTGCAGCTGGATCTACAAGTGTGCCAAAAGCACAGCCTGCTCTGTCTCCAGAGACAATCACCTGTCTGAAGCTCCTCAGGGACAGGAAGAGAACTTTGACCTACAATTCTCTGCTCACGCTATAAATATCTCACATCAGCGATGAAAACCGAGATGCCTGCTAAAACTAGCACAAGTATTTAAAATGGACAATACATCTGTTTCTGAATAGGCCTTTCTTTATAAAGTTTAGCGGCTGCTCAGATCATTTCCCAGGTCTTTTGCTCTGTGGAAGGCCCTCCAACTCCATAATCTCTGTTTCCATAGCTTTGGTCTTTTACATACTGAAAGAAACTTCTCTTTTAAAAATACCTCCTTATTTGGGCAAAACCAACAACAAGAATTGTTTCCTGACTCAATGCAGTGGATACACAAAGCCATTTTTCCTTAGACATATGTGACCATTGCTCTAAAATTAGTGACACAGAAACACACCCTAAGGTCAGTTTACTGGGAATGCTACTTGTAGTAATGGAAAAAAAGTGTTCAGGTCATCAGTCTCTAATACCCTACAAAACCCTGTACAAAAAGCGGATGCAGGCTTCCACTTTGCCACAACTTATTTAAAAACTCTGCTCCGGACCAAGTGGCAGACCCCCTCTGCAGATGAACTTGCCTGCTGGTGCACGGGCACAGCCCTTCTTCACAAAACCCGAGGGTCAGAGATGGAATAAAGGCCCTTTCAGAACCCATCAATATGGAATTTAGCAATAAAGCTACAAGGATTAAAACCAAATATTGAATCACAGAAGTATTTCAAAAGCGAAAGAGTTACAGAAAGAGCAGGTGGAAGACAGGACTTGATTGTCCTTGTTTCTGTCACCCACCTGGATGTCCCGGGCTCGCTCGTAAGACTGATAGGCAATTTTCTCCTCCATGCTGGCCAGCTCCTGTTTTAAATTGAGGATCTCATTCTGGTGGAGCTCAGTCAGGTCATTTAGCTGCTCTTCGAGTCTTTCACATCTAGAAGTGATATACATAGTACAGTAGCGTTAATGAGAAGAGGATGGCAAAATTACACCAGTAACAATTGAGCAATGAACATCATAGTCTTTTTACTGAAAACTAGTGTGGCTACCTCAGTCATTACAAAAGCACACATTACAACATAAGGCCCTCTCACTGGGAATTAAGGAAATCCTTTCTACCAGGTAAGGTATGTTAATCCTGTTTCTATCCCGGGGAAAAACACACAGAGTGGTTAAATGACAACTGTCAAGTGATGCAAGAAATCAAGGACAGAATTAGAACAGAGTAAGTTATTCTCCAAACTTCTGCGTAAACCAAACAGTTCCCTTCTAATACCATAAGCTCTTAAGCATTTTCATCTACACTTGGAACAGTAACAGGCATAAAAATGATACAGAAATTAAATGTGACCGATGCCTCAGAGAGCATGATGGTCCCATCTGATCTTTACATGTGAGGTCACATAGATATCTTTGACTTATTTTTAATTTCTCTCTCATGAATGATTCAGCTTAACCAGCAAAGACCATCGTATTATTTATAAGGAGGGCACATGAATCATTAACACACAGGCTGATTTTTCAGTTTGCTACTGGTGAATGGACTGGGAGGAGTCCTAAGAGGGCTGCCCAAAAAACTGAGTTACGGCAATTCTGAGAGATGCAGTTTTGTTTGTCATTGAGGGAGTTTTAAATTGACTTCAATGATGGCTCCATAATGTTACTTTAGCACTTTCAAAATACATTAGGGATACTTTGCATTTGTATGTAGCACTTCATTTTTGGAATTCAAGTCTAAATTTACAAGCAACTCATGCTTCAATATCCTTTTAAAATCAGGCAAGTATTTGTATTATTTCCAAAAGGTAAACATACCCAGAGAGCTAGGCCACAGCCCAAGGGTCGGGAGCGGCAAGTTGGGCACCATCCATCCCATCCTCTTCCATCATGCTTCCCACTGGTTTCTCATTCTTGGTTCATTACGAGCGACAGCTCTGATGACAACTAAGGTATGGGTACAGCTATTGTGGCTGTTGGGGTTTTTCCACTCTAATTTCCACTGACTGTCTTCTCATTGTAACAGCGTGTAAAAAGCTTACCGTATAACTCTTATCACCTGACCTTTGATACTAATAACTGAGAAATTTCTAAGGAATTCAACACAGAGATAATTCCTTGTTTTAATTTCAGTTCCCCTCTGACTCCATCTGAATTTAATTTATACACACACACACATAAAATGAATAAACAATATTTATCTAGAGCAAAGAATTTAATTACAAGTTCTGAAACTAAGACAAAAATCCCACTTTTTTTTTTTTCCCCATCAAGATTTTTGGTGCTTCACAAGCTGAATATTCAGAATCTGTAGGCACAAGCTAGCCTTTAAAAATAGTCTTGGGGTTTTTTGTTTTTAATTGAAAAGTCTGAAGAGAATTTTCATCTACATTCCCAATGCAATATTGCTTTAAACTAAGGAGGAGTCAGACATAGCATGACAATTTCCAGCAATGAAACACATGTGGTCAACCAGTAGTGAGACTCAGACAACCACCAGCTGACATGGCTCAGCCCAGAAAGGTGCCACAGTAGCTAGCTGTGCAACCAAGACGGGACACACAAGAGAACTGGTTTCCCAAGAACGACAAGCTGCAAACAAGGGAATATCCATGTGAAGACTGGCTAATGAAGAAGGAGCCCAGTAATTCATATTGCCATTTGTTCCCACCCAACTTAAAAAAAAACAAAACAACAGCTTGCCAACAACCAAGAAATCACAACTAAACCTGCTCTAAGTCCCAAAGGCAGCATAAATTACTTGAAATATATACAGTTTGTTAATATATTACAAAATCCTCCAGTAGGTTTATTACACAAAAAGGGACTTGAGCATTTCTGAAAATGTCATGATTACATCTTTTAACCCCCTCCCCACATAAACACCCTTCATAAAACAGCTGTTGCCAGGCAGCTTAAATCCTGTTCTTTAACAAGAAACAATTGTATTTTAATAACTTCAAAACTACCTCAATCTACAGGAAACACAAGGAAACCCTGCAAATCCGTATAGTTAAGAGTTTAAGCACAACATGATTAACAAAAGGGTTGGCTCCAGTCCTCCCTGCCCTGAACACAGGACTACCGGCTTGTTCCCGAACCACACTTCGTTTCCCTGCTTGATTCCAGAGCTTTTGCAGTTTGCACCTAAGAATCATCTGCACTTTCAGAAACTGGCGTTAGGCAACTGCTGGAATTGGGTTATTAAAAAAAAAAACCAAAAACAACCCCCCCCCCCCCCCCCCACAAAAAAAAAACCACCCACCACC